GTTTTTATATCATTATATGTATTAATTTTATTTTTATATCATTTTATGTATTGATTTTGTCATATTATCTATTCAAAAATGCTAAAACTAAAACATTATTATTTACAAAAGAAATTCAGGTAAGAGTATTCAATATTGGAATAGGCATTTTCTATTAGTATAGGAATTTTAATTTTGCATTATGTTTTACATAACTTTTATAAAAGCTTCAAAAAGGCATTAATGTTCACTAATTTTATTAATAAAATTAAATCTTACTAAACATAATCAGTTCTAATAATGATAGCATACACACTTGTTAATTCAGAATTACTTATAGCAAAATTTTGAATATACGCTCACAAGGCAATGGCTTAAATACACATGGTATATGTTTATTACAAAATAATATTTTCAAAAAAGATGAGAAAAGCATCATAACTCAGGAACATGTTAACGTCATAACTGTTACCGGAAAAAAGCATGTTAACAAAATTTAGTAAAGTAGTAATAACAGGAAAACAATAATAGTTATGACAAGATGCATGTATTATGAATAAATATTATTTCATTCCTGTCCTTTATTTTTTAGGTTTTCTATGATTTCTATGCATTACTTTGAACATTCCAAGTAGAAATTTATTTAAACAGACTTATATTATCCTGTAGTAAAAAAAAAATACACTGATTCTCCACTTGAACGCTCTAAATTCTAGGTTCAAGAAGGGTGTGGGGCCAGGCATGTAGCTCAGCGGCACAGCACCTGCCTGGTAAACGCAAGGTCTTGAGTTCAACTCCTGGTAACAAAAAAGAGGACTGGGGTGGAAGACAGACCAGGAGACACTTCTCCACAGGCCCAGTATGACAAGTTTTGCTTGATAGCTGGGAAAAGCGAGACAGGAAAACCATTTCACCTTTATTTACATCTATGTGAGGTTCTACATCCACTGTAGCTCATTTGGCCAAAGGAAAAGAACACAAATGTTTAAGAATACAGTGAATTTCCTCCAACTTCCCTGAACTTTATTTTTAAATTCTGATCTTTTTGTTTTTTAGTTTTTTGCAAGCAAAACATGACAAAAGTGACAAATTTAAAAAAGAAAGCCATAAGGACGTAAATTAAAATCAATTATAAAAATGAGACTTTTTCTCTGAATTCTTAATATTAAAAAGGAAAATCATTCCCGTTTCTGCCTAATTCACAAAATATGGGTGATGGTAAGGAAAAGAAATCTGCTAGGAAATACTCCTGTATGATATAGTGTCACTCCAAGTGTTACATAACAACTGCATGTCCTCCAGGTTAAAAAAAAAACTTTACCTTCAAGAATGAAATCAGACCTGACACAGTGTACGATTGTAGAGAATAAACTCTTACGTGATGAGCACCTCTAATAACTTGGCAAGTGTGAGGCTGGGCATGTTTCCGCACTGCCCGGTGCCTATGTTGGCTTCGTATCACAACTGAACACTCAGTGTGCGGGCCTTTCTTGGGAAACCAGACAGCTGAGAGCAATGGCGGCTCACCACAAAGCGAAAGGGCTCCTACTGTGGGAAGCACTGCTTGCCCTGGGAGAGATTGGTCATGTGACTCATAGTCCCGGCGTCTGTCTTCATTTTTAGGACTAACAGGGGCTACTTCAAAGCCTCAGAAAGATCAATTGAATTTACACAGTGGATTATGTTCCCTAGCGCAGAAAATGTATGTGTTGCAGAGCACACACCAGGTTGAAGCTCTCCGTTACCACCTTGATCCTGTAGCGGAGGGCGGTGAGCTAAGGATTTAGTCTTTTATGAGATTTAGACTTAGTCTCATTCTTTACAGCATGTGCCTAGAGACGTGGTCCCAATAACGGGAGTTGAGCTGAAAGGCCAAGTGGTCAAAAGTGTCATAAATAGAGATAAGGTCGTTCCCTGAATGTGTTATCAGCTCAATGGGGACTCTCAGTGAATTTGGGGAAACCTGAATTGGAAACCATCAGATCAGCAGAAATCTCAGTAGAAACTCAAGGAGGACCTCCATAAGGAATGCAAGCTAGCTGAGTAATACCCGAGAAATCACGTTTTCTGTCTGTTCTTCTTGTACATCTAATGTGACATCTAATGTGACTTGGACATCTAATGTGATTCTATACATGAAGGTTCTAAAGTAGGCAAAAGCAAGCCTGGTGTGCTCAAAAACGCAATGCTTGTCTGTTCACCAATAATAAAAACTAACATACGTTGACTGCACAAATTGCGGGCTTAGGAAAAAAGACGCAGCGGGACGAAGTCAGAGAACTAGGTCTGCTGCCACTGCGCTGCTTGCAAAGCGGGGCCAGGAAACACTTGGGGCTTTCATAGCCAGGCTGTGTCTCCTCGGTCTTCCTTTAGGAGGTGCTCTGCACCTCGGCTGCATGCCCGGGGGCCACAGAGGCAGTCAGACAGCAGTGCCAAAGACGGAAGCCCCAAAAATATATAGCGTTTATTGTTTGCAGGTTATTGTGGTGAAGCCCAGGAGAATGACTGTATTCAATACTTGGCTCTTTGACTTGCTAGCTGGGTGGCTCTAGGACTATTCCTAAGAACATGCATACCTTGGGCTGTTTGATGGAAATAGTTACTGATATGTGTGTATCAGTATGCTAAGTGTCAAACTGTACGCTAGAGTGTCAACACACTCTGGCCTGCATGAAGTTCAGCATTAACTACACTATTAGTGTTATTATTGGACTAGGTAACGTAGGAATACTCTTGCATTAAGTCAATCTAATACAGAATGAGGCCTACGTGGAAATAAACTGGCTGTAAGATTCAATCTTTAGATTAAAAAGCACTGAAGGGAAGCCACGTGGGGTTTTTAGTGAGCTGAAGTACCTCCACACATTCGGTCGGCATCTCAGCAGGTCTGTCGAAGAGGACGAATCGATACCAGCCGGGGGACAGGGAGTGGTCGCAGATGAGGTCCTGAGCAGCTGCCTGCTGGAGGTGGCCGGAGTCGAAATGCACACTTCGGTAGGGGCTCCGAAGAACCCGGTGGCCTCCGGGAGCGCACTCCTGGGCTAGACAGAAAGACAGTTGTCTCCAAGTAAGGTGCTTTGTTCACTGGCGTAGTTCAGTTCTTGGGTAAAATTGGTTTCCAAAACAAAAACAAAGCAAGCCACTATAGTACACACAACCTGCCCGAACTGTACACGGTCTCTCCGTGAGGCCAGGGTGGCTGAGCTCCCCTTTCCACTGACCCAGTACACAATAAAACCCTTCACAATGCAGTCTGAGGAACTTGAAGACCCTTATTTTCGTTTTATTTTAACAAGGCACTAGCTCTGATTGTTGCAATTCAAACTTACTTCGATCACCTCAAATCCAAGCCCGAGGGTGATTCCCTTTGGGCCGAGTCCCCCCGATTTGAATTGATCCTCCCGGAGCAGTTTTCCCCCTAAAGCAGACCTATGCCCCCCGTCCTGTCTTTGCTGGATCCTGGCACGCAGCAAACTGAATTAACCTTTGAAAGTTGATCTAACTTTGGTAACTCATAAAGTGCCTTCAGAGGAAGTCTCCTGCTTTTTTTTGTTTGTTTGTTTCTTTTTGGTGCCAGAAAGAATACAAAGTTGTAAAAGTCGTAGCTCCTCTCTCCCTCTGACCTTCCCCGCCATCCCCTCCGCTCCCCCTGCTCCCCACTTCCCTCTTCTCTCCTCTCTGTCTCTCCATCTCTGTCTCTCTCTCCCTCCCTCTCTCTCTCTTTGTCTCTCCCCGCCTTCTCTGTATCTCTGTCTCCCCCGCCCCCGTACTGGAGCGCCGTTTAGCTGAAGCGCAGGAAAAGCGCTGGGATGGAGAGGCGCAGGTGTGAAGCAGATTCAGGGAGAAAGTTAGAGCCCTGAGCTACTGTCAGGGATGTTTTCCGTGTGTTAGAGGGTGGACAGGGTCGTCCTTCCGTAAAGACCCCTTTCACAGTGGGAAGCCTACTTGAACAGCGTGCGAAGACCGCGCCGAGGAGGGAGGGCGCGGAGGGGCAGGGCAGAGTGCCGAGCGCGCGAGCAGCCCCCGGCCGAGGCGGACAGATCTTCCCACCGCGCCTCGCGGCGCCCAGCCGGCGTCCTCCGGTGCGCGGATTCCGAGGGGCGCGGAGCTCCTCCCCCGCCTCTGCACTGGGGTCCCCGGTCAGGACATCGGGAGGCTATCCGCGGCCGGGGAGGGAGAGGGGCAGCGGGGACGCGGAACCGAACCCGGACTCTCGGCGGGGCCAAGGGCGGGGGCGGCCGGGGCGCGGGGCTCGGGGCGCGGG